GGGGGAGCCCCCGGTTTGGGGGGCGAGAAGGAGGTAAAAGGGGTGTGGGGCCCCCCACTCTTGTCACCCGGAGGTGCACCTGGAGAGGAGGACCGGCACGGCCCTGGGGAGGGCTCCCGGGGCGGAGGAGAGGAGCAGAAGGAGAGAAACAGTGAAAATGAGAAATGCAGATGAAAAGGGGACAAAGAGAAATGGAAGAGAAAGCGTGAACAGGAGAGAGGAAAGGAAGAAGAAAAAGAGCGAAAGAGGAAGAAAAAGTGCAACAGAGAACGAAGAAAGAGAAGACCAAAAGGAGAGAGCAAGAGAGCAGAAGAGAAAGGAGGTTAAAAAAAAAAAAAAAAAAAGCTAAAAAGAGAAAGAGACAGGAGGAGGAGGATGCACTCAGAGCTCCTCAGGCCAGCAAGCAATAAGGTCCCAGCAGTTTGGCCTGGCCCGGCTGGTCCCCATGGCCAAGGCAGAGGTGCAGGGAGGTACCTCTGGATCCTCGATACCCCTGGATCCTCACTTGCCGCAGAAGGGCCTCGAGGACAACTGCCCTGGCAGCGAGGGGCAGGGTCCTGCCGGCCAGGAAAGGCCGCTGCGTCCCGGTGGCTGGAGCCTGGGCTCCGGGCCGCCCGAGCCAGCCCAGAATTTCCATCCCCCCTGATCTGGGGAAAGAACATTTGATGCCATCAAAGGGCTCCAGATTGAAAACAGATGTGCTTCCCCGAGCCTCTCCATGCATTTAATTAAGGCACAGGCATGGAGGAGACATTTTCATCATTAGTTTGCTTTCAGGCCCCCCTCTCTGGTCCCAGTTTACCCTTTGCAGTCTCAAAGACCCAAATGAGCTTGCCAGGGCTGCGGGGCTCTGCGGTCCCTGGCTTGGGGACGAGTGAAGCTGGTGGGCACAGACTTGAAAGGTCAAAAAAAGCACTGGGGCAAGGTTGCGCGTGTACGCAGAAATGTGTGGGTGCATATACACCCAAAAGGCCATGTGTGCATCTATGTACACAGCAGCGTGTGCCTTACTGCATACTGGTGTAGCCCTTTTTCTGCATGTGAGGGAGCATTTGTGTGTGATGTCCTGCGTTACATGCCCACATATTGGATGGGGAAGGAACTGCGTCTTCACATGGGTGTGCGAGGCTATATTTGGCCGGTTTTTCAGTGCTGGCATCTTGTACCCTGGCTCTCAGTGTCTCCAGGTTTAGGCACAGCAGGGTGGGTGGGTGTACACACTTCCATGCTCTGAAGAATGGTTATCCGTACACACCCCTGTGGGCTGCCTGGAACATGAAACACCCTTTTCTCTGCCTTTCCCAGATATTTGGCTGCCTTCTTTCTTGGTGAACTGGGGTTTACCCTCTTTCTCCCTGTTTTCCTTCAAATGGATGTTGCAACTGACCCGGCTTTTCTGAGACGGTGTTGTAGAGTCCTAGCCATAAAGATCCCTTTCCACTGGCAGTAGGGTCTGCTCTTAGCCCCAGGCAACCTCTGCTATGGTGGTGACAGCAGAAGCCACAGAAACCAGAACAAGAGCTCTCTGTGCCACCTTCAGCAATATCCTCACTGATATCCCTGGTAAGAAGTATTTCTCCTTAGATCTCCCCATGTCTAAGGGCATCCTTCAGACAACTCTCCCTCCCAGACTTGGAGTTTGGGATTGCAGCCCAATACCAGCAGATGACCTGGAAAGATAGTGGATAAAAGCATGTTGGTGCTGTGGGTGACCACATCAACATGTGTGCATCTGCTACAAATGGAGAATCTCACCTGTAAGGCAACAAAGGGGCCCAGCTACAAGACCAGCTACTGTGGCTTTACCCTGAAGTGAGCTATGGGTGCTCCCCATACATACAGCACCCGCAGGCTGAAGAGCAACACAGGGTGCCAGATTCACATTCTGGAAGTGGTCTAAACACCTTGTTTCCCATATGCCTCCTGCAACACAACTGGATTTCTGTGACTGTGTGGGAGAACTCTGCTGAGGGGCAAGATGAACCCAAGGGAAACTCTTCCAGCCCTGTCTGTCTCAAAAGAAAGAAGGTTGGAAACAGTGGGGGGGCTCCAAGACTGCACAGAACACCACTCGGCTGTGGCTCTTCTTTCAGTTTGCTATGACCAGGCAGGCCCTAAGCCAAGGTGCACCTGCAATGTGGAAATGAGTGTGGCAGGAACCTCCTGGGCTCTGAGAGGGATGGTAACTGTGCTGCCACCTCAGATAATGAACTGCCTCTCTCCCTAGACCATCTGTAGTGCCTTTAGGACCAAGCTAGCCTTTCAAAGCAATGCTGCTGTTCTGCATGTGCCAGAGGGCAGAATTAGTGCAGCATCCATGATACTCTGCTCCATGGAGAGCATGGTTTGCCTATGGGAAGCCTAATGAATGGAGAAGTACAGATAGTGCCAGGGAAAAAATCCTACCAGGAGAAAGTAGTGGAATGTGCTCTTTGCAGCAGGGTGTCCTATTGTACTAGGGATCAGCCCAAGCTTGAGGGAATGGGTGGGATGGATGAAGGGACCTTGTCACATGCAGGAAATGAGTCACATGAGAAATAAGTGATGGACCAAAGTGGCCCACAAATATAATGAGCAAAAGACAAACAGAAGAGAAAGAATCAGAACAATGAGAAGAAGGAGTGGATGAAGGACATGCTCTCCGAGCTCCTGGGTGAGCAAACCGAGGGGTCCCAGGGCCCTACATAGCTGCAGATCTCAGCCTGCTGCTAAAACAGAAGTAGGACCATCTTTACAGGACAAGCATGAGACATCCCTTCAATAACCTTTAACTTGATACAAAGTTTTAGAAAATTTCAGGGTAGATTACAGGCAGATATCACCTTACCTGAATGCTCAAGGGTATTGCCTTCTAGTGTACATCTTCTCCCCCTCCAGCCGCTAGCACTGAAGGCAGAAGAGGATGCCACCCATCTCAGATGCATCAGTTTCTTCCTGTGCGAATGTCCAATAGCCAGTGCACACACCCACTCTAAGGTCTCCAGGAGTTTCTGCAAGATAAATAGCCATAGAGCAGGTATGAGCCACATGATGGTCTGTTGTAATCCAAAGATCTCAACACATTTCCCCCCATTTCAGATGGGCAAACTGATGCAAAGGCAGCTTGTCCTCAGCATCAAACCCAAAGCAGATGTAGTAGGATATCCCAGTTCTCATGACCTGGAGGCTGGAAAGGACTCCCATGCTACAGGTGGCTCATGACAGGAAATGCACATACCATTTCAACATCCCACAGGCCATCAAGTAGTTAGTTAGACACCTATTTCCCACCTCACCACTAGCCTGGCATCAAGCTGAACAGATAGCTCCTGTACTCCACCATCTTCCCATCCCACCTTTCCTCTATACTGTTTGCCTACTTGGCAGCTGCTCACAGCCCCATTTCTCCACCTTCCCAGGATGTCCAGGGAATGACTGCCTCCTGCGCACACTCCCAGCAAGGCAGGGACCTCTGAGCCTCTGCTGCCAGGCAGGGAGATGAGAAAGCCCTAAGGTCCTGAAACAGCCAGAAATCTGCTAGGTAAAGCACCCACAGCTGAAAGGCCAAGCCTCACACTGCAGAGAGCAGTTAGATCCCAGTTTGGCCCTTCCTGCTCCCAAAAGTCGTTATCATTTTGAAGGACATCAGTGAGGCTCATCAGCTGGAGCCCTGCCTCAAAACCTATCTACCTTTACAGAGGGATCTGGACAGGCTGGACCGATGGGCGGAGGCCAATGGTATGAGGTTCAACAAGGCCAAGTGCCGGGTCCTGCACTTGGGTCACAACAACCCCATGCAGCGCTACAGGATTGGGGCAGAGTGGCTTGAAAGCTGCCCGGCAGAAAAAGACCTAGGGGTGTTGGTGGACAGCTGTCTGAATATGAGCCAGCAGTGTGCCCAGGTAGCCAAGAAGGCCATTGGCATCCTGGCCTGTATCAGGAATAGTGCGGTGAGCAGGACTAGGGAAGTGATCATCCCCCTGTACTCGGCACTGGTGAGGCCCCACCTCGAGTACTGTGTTCAGTTTTGGGCCCCTCACTACAAGAAGGATATTGAGGTGTTGGAGCATGTCCAGAGAAGGGCAACGAAGCTGGTGAGGCATGTGGAGGACAAGCCTTATGAGGAACGACTGAGGGAACTGGGGTTGTTTAGCCTGGAGAAGAGGAAGCTGAGGGGAGACCTCATCACTCTTTACAACTACCTGAAAGGAGGTTGTAGAGAGGTGGGGGCTGACCTCTTCTCCCTGGTGACAAGTGATAGGACGAGAGGAAATGGGTTCAAGTTATGTCAGGGGAGGTTTAGATTGGATATTAGGAAACATTTTTTCACTGAAAGAGTTATTAAATATTGGAACAGGCTGCCCAGGGAGGTGGTGGATTCACCATCCCTGGAGGTGTTTGAAAAAAGGGTAGATGTGGTACTTAGGGACATGGTTTAGAAGTGGTTTTGTCAGGGTAGTTTGATGGTTGGACTCGATGATCTTAAAGGTCCCTTCCAACCTCAGCAATTCCATGATTCTATGATTCTATGATCTCCAACACTGTGACCACATCTGATGCTCAGAGAAGGTGAGGCAGAAACCACAAACTCTCCCATTCTCCCTCCCCTAGTTGCATATCAAGAAGGGGAAAACCAAAGATCTGCGCCTCTGCAGATGACTAGCACATTTGCTTCTGCCTTCTTTTCTCATAAAAAATTACAAGCTCAATCTGCAGTGTCAGTGAGAAAACCTCCAACTCCTGTCCCAGTTCCTGCAATTTCCCATGAAATCCTGCACTTGGAAGTTCCTGTGGTTCCCAGCTCCAATATACGGGCTACCAAAGTATGCTAGAATCCCTTAGAAATGTTCCCCTCACCTTCTCATCAGTCCATACAGGGAGCTTCCTAGCACATACAGCCGCAGTCTTGGTGACAGTTTTCAGGTACAACAAACAGGAGCTGACAAGCTTCCCAAGGGTCTTGCGGCCAACAAGAAATACTCAGAGCAGATGAGCAGCTGGGCAGCAGTAACATTCCCAGGGCAGCTCACACTCCTTGTAGCTGGTGTTAGTGGGATGCTGGAAGGCACCAAGCACCGAGTAAGACTGCGCAAGCCAAGCCTTCGCTTGCTCTGCTCCCACATTCAGCTTTTCTGCACTGGCCACCACATCACCTTTCCCAGCATAGACTACACACTTGTTTCAGGTGCCGTAAATATCTTCTCTTCTACCTGAGTTAAAAAAAAAACACAACAAAATCCCAACAAACAAGCAGGCAGAAGAACCTGTGGAGGCTGTGACACACAGGTGTGGATTCTCAGCTCTCTAATATCATGGCACTTAGATGAAGCATTTTGCTCAGTGAGGGAAAGAAGTTTGGGTCTCTCTTCTCTACCTTATTTTTGTGAGATTTTTCAGCATGTAATGTCTTAGAGCCCTTTTTCGATCTGCCAAATTTGTTTCATCCTAGCAGCTTAAAAGTAATATTGCAGAAGGGCAGCAGGGAGAAGGAGGAGCTAACAGGCAGTACCATTGCACAGGCTTGGGCCTTTAGGAAACCTGACCAAAATGCACACACAATTTATCACTGCTCTGTGCTTCTTGGCCTTAACCATGCAAGGTGCTCAGCTATTCTAAGACACACCGGGGGTCCTCCAGCACTGCTCTCCTGAGGACCTC